ATATATATACTCCTCTCCCTCAGTGATCTTACCATCAAGCAAATTTCTCCTGTTAGCCTAATTGGTTGGCGACATCACCGACCAGAGAGAGGTGGCAGTAACGCACCAAAAAGTTTGTTTTCGACTACCTAAAAACAGGAAGAACAAATAGTCATTCTCGCCATCATATGAATTTACTTTCATCGGCTATACACCGGCCTCACAGCTCTGTGAATGTCAGTGTCATCACGTATTGATCCGTGATCGGTAAATGTAGCTTGTGTGGACGCTACTGTGCTAGTTCACTAATAAAATAGCTTGATTTAGAAAGTAACGACGCTACTGAGAAATGTAGTTAAGCTAGCGTCACTACTAATTAACCCTGAAAAAGCCAAAGCAGAGCGAAGCAGTGGCGCAGTAGGTAGTGCTGTCGCCTCACAGCAAGAAGGTCGCTGGGTCGCGCCTCGGCTCAGTTGGCGTTTCTGTGTGGAGTTTGCATGTTCTCCCTACGTTCGCGTGGGTTTCCTTCGGGTGCTCCGGTTTCCCCCACAGTCCAAAGACATGCGGTACAGGTGAATTGGGTAGGCTAAATTGCCCGTAGTGTATGAGTGTGTGTGTGAATGTCTGTGTGGATGTGTGGATGTTTCCCAGAGATGGGTTGCAGCTGGAAGGGCATCCGCTGCATCCTTGTCCTCATTTGTAAGTCACTTTGGATAAAAGCGTCTGCTAAATGACTAAATGTAAATGTAATAGCTTGCTGGGTAAGTTGGCGGTTCATTCCGCTGTGGCGACCCCGGATAAATAAAGGGACCAAGCCGACAAGAAAATGAATGAATGAATAGCCAAAGCAACGCAAACAGTACCGGAGTGTCTACTTATTAGAGTGTCACTAACCTGATTTATAATGATCTGATCAGCTTTAGTTTTTAACGTTACGCTGTTTTTCTCCCCTTAGGGCTTATTATGCACTCACTGTTGCCATCTTGTTTATTAAAAATGAAGTCCAGAGGTAAAAAAGGTTAAAAAATAAAAATAAAAATAGGGAACCCAGTACACAGTAAAAACTAATTAAATGACAAAATATCATGATGACCCTATTTTTTATATTGTTTTAACTTATCAGGTTTTTTATTTTTTACTTAATAATACAAAGTCTAACTCAATATAGTGCAGTCACTTTGATTGATTGTAAGTTGAGAGGACTTGAAAACTGAAAACATCAAGCACAATAGTCAAATTAATGAGTGCAAATCAAGTTTCAAACTGAGCACTGAGGCTCCTTCAAGTCATTTTCAGATTAAAGTGGTGCTTCCAGTCCATGACACACTCATTCTGAAACCTCACATTCAGCCACTGAATGAACACACACACTAGAACTGCTCCACTTTACACTCCGTCTACACCACAGCAAAGCATCACACACTTTAGTGCATTTCCACATATTTACTACAACCAAAAATACAACCTCCAACACAAAACCCACACACACAGCATGACTGACTAACCACGCATGTGTTCATGAGTGCTGTATTAAAGGCCTTGAACTCACTGATGCATCTTTTTCTCCACAGAAAAACAGCCCAGGACACCAATAATTGTGGTAAGCTGACTTTATGACTGTTTTTTTTTTTGTTTTTCTCAGTTATATCAGTGTTTATGCGTCACAGTTCCATTACAACTGCTTTCAAACCACAATGTAGGAGTTCCAGTTCAGTGCTGTCATTTTATAAACAATTGAGGACAAAGTTATTCGTCTTCCTGCGCAATATTCATCCCTTTTCTTATATTTCCCCAATGATGTTGAACAGATTCAGGAATTTTTCACAGTATTTCCTCTAATATTTGTTCTTCTGAATACAATTTTTTATTTTATTTATTTCGGCTAAAATAAAAGCAGTTTTTAATTGTTTAAAGCCATGTTAAGGTCAATATTATTCGCCCCCTTAAGCAATATTTGTGTTGGATTGTCTCCAGAACAAACCACTGTTATACAATGACTTGCCTAATTACCCTAACTTTACCCTAATTACCCTAGTGAAGCCTTTACATGTCACTTTAAGCTGATTACTAGAATATCTGGTCAGTTATTATGTGCTGTCATCATGGCAAAGAGAAAAGGAAACTCATTTTGCTCTCAACTCTGTCAGTTAAACAGAAACAGCATGTTTATTTTCTATTTTCTGCAGATAAGCCGCCTTACGATGCACCATCAAGGACTATAACGGGTGCAAATGTGCCGGTAATTTCAGTCCAGCCATCCTCAAAATACTTTTTAGTCTGCCCTGTCATTTCCCATCATGCAACATACCACTGGTACCACAGTGACACACGCGAGGAGTGTGCTTCCACGGATGAGGGCTGTATATATCTGATCGAAAGCATGAATAAGACTCACGAAGGGTCGTACAGATGTGAGTATACAGAGAACGGCATTACTAAGACTGTCAGCTATTATGAGCTGAGCATGAGCCTCTCAAACGGCTTCATACCGATACTGATACCACACGCTTTACTTCTGCTCACAGCCTTTCATATCCTTTTATAGACCGTCGAGAGTATTATTTTATTCTGGACACTGTAAAAATGCACTTCTTACTTCAACTTTTGACTTGTTTCTGGTACAAATATCTAAAAACTCTCACAAGCGAAAAATATAGTCTTGTTTTCAGAAATAATGAGTCAAAATTAAGTGAGTTTTTTTTTGTTAAAACAAGCTAAATAATCTGCCAATTCAATAATTGAATAGTCTTATGTCAAAAGGAAAGACTAAATTATTTTTATTACACTGAAAAAAATTATTCAGAGATAACTCGTTGGATTTACTCAATTTTTTTACTTAAGGTGGTTGTAAACAATTTATTTGTGTTAAATTTAAACAAACAAATTAAGTTGAACATTATTAAACTTAATTTGTTTGTTTATATTCAACACAAATAAATTGTTTGCAACAGTTCTGCATGCAACACTTTTTTCAGTGATACCCCATTGATTATTTTTATTTAATATATTATTATTAAATATTATATTAATTTATTATTAATTATTATTATATTGATTTATTAGATTATTTTGCTTGTTTTAAAGAAAAATTCTGTTAATCTTGACACATTATTTCTTAAAACAAGACTATACTTTATGCTTGTACAGAAAGTGCATCCTGATTTAAGAGTTTTTAGATGCTTGAATTAGAAACAAGACAAAAACTGGTTATGTATTATGCACATTTTTATTATTGTTGCCATTAGTTAAATAGATAGTTCACCCAAAAATGTTTAAAAAAAAAATCAGTGGTTCTAAAAAAAAAAAAAAAAAAAAAAGATGTTTTGTTGAACACAAAAGAAGATATTTTGAAGAATGTTGGAATCTGGGAACCACTGACTACCATAAGGAAGTCATATTATAGTGTCGTCACGATACTGGAATTTGCCTCGTATATCTGAGCGCATTCTTAAACAGCGCTGATTGGCCATTGTGTTCATGTGCACAACAGAAATGACTGTGACTGGCTGTGAAGGTCATCAGTTCATCAAACTCACCGCTGTTTACTGAGTGGAAACACAGATACAGGGACACTGGAGCGTTTTAAAGCCTTGATTCATCAGCAGATCCCTCATATGTCAGCTTATAGACAAACCAGCTAATTGACTTGACTTTAAAATGATCCAGTGTCCCTGTATCTGTGGTTGTCTAGCGAGTTTGGTGAACTGATGACCTTTACAGCCAATCATAGTCATTTATGTTGA